TAAGAAGACTGAGAGCATCTCAAGTATCTTCCAACCACAATGGTGTGAAACTATAAAATTACAAGAAGAAAACTTTAAAAAATTACAAATATGTGGAGATTAAACAACATACGACCCAGCAACTATTGGGTCAATGAAGAAATAAAAGAAGTCAAGAGGCCAATGAAAATGAAAATATAACATACCAAAGTCTTTGGAATGTAGCAAAAGTGGTAGTAAGAGGGAAGTTTACAGACCTATCTCAAGAAACAATAAATACCTCAAATAAACAATCTATTATTACACATTAAGGAGCAATAAAAAGAATAAAGGAAGCCCAACATCATTATAAGGAAAGAACATATAAAATTCAGAGCGAAATTAATAAAATACAGAATAAAAAGACAACCGATATAAATTATTAAAATTTTAAAAGAAAATATTGGAAAAAATCTTCATGACCTTGGGCTAGGTAAAGAGTTCTTAAATACTATACCAGAAAAAACCCACAACCCATAAAAAATGATAAATTGAACTTTATAAAAATTCAAAACTTTTGCCCTTTAAAAGATATTATTAAGAAAATTAAAAGACAAGCCATAGACTGGGAGAAAATATTTGTAAATCAAATACTATCTAATATGAGTCTAGTATCCAGAAGAACTCTTACAACTCAAAAGCAAAATGACAATTCAAATTAAGAATGAGCAAAGTACATGAGTAGATATTTCTCCAAATCAGATATACAAATGAACAATAAGAACATAAAAACATGCTCACCGTCACTAGGAAATGAAAATCAAAACCACAATGAGATGCCACACCCATTAAGGTGGCTATAATTTTTAAAAAGAAATAATTTTAAAAATAGAAAAGTATTGGTGAAGATGTGGAGAAATTTTGAATTTTCATATATTGCTGGAAGGAATGTAAAATGGTGCAGACACTGTGGAAAATAATTTAGCAGTTACTCTACAAGTTCAACAAAGTTACCACATGACCCAAAAATTCAATATCTAGGTACATATTTAAAAGAACTGAAAATGGGTATTCAAACAAAAGCTTGCATACACATGTTCATAGCAGTACTATTCGCAGTAGTAAAAAAGATGGGAACAATAAACTGATGAATGGATAAACAAAATGTGATATATACATATAACTGAACATTATTCAGCCATCAAGAGTAATATACATACTACAATATAGATGGACCTTGAAAACATCATGATGAGGCCCAGCTAGCATGGCTCAGTGGTTGAGCATCAACCTATGAACCAGGAGGTTACAGCTTGATTCCCGGTTAGGGCATATGCCTAGGTTGTGGGCTGGATCCCCAGTGTGGAGGAGTGCAGGAGGCAGCTGATCAATGAGTCTCTCTCCCATCCAAGTACTAACCAGGCCCGACCCTGCTTAGCTTCCAAGATCAGACGAGATCGGGCGCGTTCAGGGTGGTATGGCTGTAGACCAATGAGTCTCTCTCATCATTGATATTTCTGTATTTCTCTCCCTCTACCTTCCTCTCTGAAATCACTATACACACACACATACACACACACACACACACACACACACACACTCACACACACACTGAGTGGCCAGATTATTATGATCTCTGAATGTATAATATGAATGCATAATAATCTGGCCACTCAGTGTGTGTGTGTGTGTGTGTGTGTGTGTGTGTGTGTGTGTGTGTGTATGTATATTAGAGGCCCGGTGCATGAATTTGTGCATGGGTGGGGTCTGGCCAGCCTGGCCAGGGGGAGGGGACATGGGCAGTTGGCTGGCCTGCCTGCTGGTTGAACTCCTGGTTGAGGGGGAAATTTGCATATTAGCCTTTTATTATATAGGATATACAGTGAGTGGCCAGATTATTATGTGTCCAGAGATCATAATAATCTGACCACTCATAAAGAAAATATCATAGTGAGTAAAAGAAACAAGTCACAAAAGACCACATACTGTATGATTGCATTTATATAACACTAGAGGCCCAGTGCACAAAATTTGTGCATGGGGGGGGGTTCCCCTCAGCCCAGCCTGAACTTTCTCCAATCTGGGATCCCTCTCACAATCCGGGACCACTGGCTCCTAACTGTTCACCTGCCTGCCTGCCTGCCTGATCACCCCTAACTCTCCCCTCATGCCAGCCTGGTCATCCCCAACTGCCCCCCGTGTTGGACTGGTCCCTCATCTGCCCTCCCCCACCAGCCTGGTCACCCCCAAATGACTCCTGCCAGCCTGGTCACCTCCAACTGCCCCCCACTTCTGGCCTGGTTTCCCCTAACTGCCCCCCTGCAGTCCTGGTCACCCCTCACTGACCCCTCTGCCAGCCTGCTTGCCTCCAACTACCCCCCCTCCCTCTGGTTTCATCACCCCTCACTGCCTCCTTCTGCTGGCCTGGTCGCCCCACATAGCCTGTAGTTACTATGAGGGCGCCCTTTCCAATTTGCATATTACTCTTTTATTAGTATAGACACCCCACAAAGTCTGCTATTGAGTCATTACTGTGAGGGCATTCTTTCCAATTTGCATATTATCCTTTTATTAGTATAGATGTTCAGAATAGGCAAATCCATAGGCACAGAAAGCAGATTAGTGGTTGCCAGGGGCTGGGAGAGGTAATAGGGATTAACTACAAATGGGTAAGAGAGAGATGTCATTGCGGTTCTAGAAATGTCTAAAACTGCACTGTAGTCATGGTTGCACCACTCAACAAATTTACTAAAAATTCTTAAAAGTGTACACTTAAAATGAGTCAGTTTTATGGTATATAAATTATATCTCTAAACAAGATTTTAAATACCCTGAAAAGCAGAGTAAAAAGATTTGGAAGCAGCCAAGTGTCCATCAGTCAATGAATGGATAAAACAGCTGTGGTACATTTACACAATGGAATACTACTCGGCCTTAAAACGGATGAAAATTTTACCCTTTGCAACAGCATGGATGGGTCTGGAAAATATTATGCTAAATGAAATAAGCCAGTCAGAGAAAGACAAGTATCATATGATTTCACTCATATGTGGAATTTGATGAACAAACTGAACTAACAAACAAAATAGAGACTGACTCATAGAGAGCAGGCAGACAGCTCTAGCAGGAAGGGTGTTGGGAGTTTGAGCAAAAGAAAAGAAAGAATTTGTAGACATGGACAACAATGTGGTGACTGTTGGGGGAGGGGTCTAAAAGTGGAAGAGGTATATTGGGGGGGAATGGTGATGGGAAAAATAGAATAAAATAAAGAAAAATAGTTCATCACTTTGACAATTTATTAGGCATGATACAGACCTCCTTGGGCTGCTGCATGTTGTTGCTGTGATGATGGTGGGAGTGGTGCTTTTCCCATGAGGCCTGAGGGCCTAGCAATGATTTGGATCTTCTAAAAATAAATTTTTTAAATCACCAAAAAAATAATGATTCTGGCTTGAAATCTGAAGTAGCAGTGGGGGGCAAACAGAAGTGGGTGGGATTTAAAAATATCCAGGAGGCAGCAGTGACAAGATTTTGCACTGATTAGATTCAGGGAATGGGGAAGAGTGAGGAGGCCTCCGACTCAGCATGCTTAACACTGAATTCCTGTTGTCTTCCCAAACTTACTGGCCCCCGTGCTGCCAATCGCCGTGAGTGGATCAGCATCCTGGCACAGAGCAAGCACTTATTGATTGCCTTTGGAATGAAAGAATGAATGAACAGAGTAAAAATATGACCAGAGCATCCACCAGGTCCTGCCAAACATCCAGTCCTAGACTCATCCTCCAGGATGACTCAGCAGACGTCTGCCACAATTTCCCTCTCATTTATCAACCGTCTGGGGAATCATCAGGTCCCATGCCCTGAAGGACACCCACCTGCACATCAGCCTCCCTTACACAGAGCCTGCCAGGGTGCACTCATGGGGTTTGTCAAGAGCCTCTCCTTCTGTGAATTCTTCACATGAGGTCCATGGCAGATGCATGTAGAACCCATGTGAGCATGGAAATAGCCCATGTTGAAGAAAGAGGGTCACCAAGGTGTCCAACTGGTGGATCTATATTCCCTTGGGCTCTGACCAGAAAGAGACTCTTCCTACAAAAAGGTGTATTTCTCCAGCACCACCCCCTTCCTGGCAGGCAGAACATGCAGCTGCTAGAAACACTGCAGTCGCTGAGTGATGTTTGGATATTTTACTGCTGTTCCCAGGGTTGCCAAGCAGATACACAACTGCCTGTGTTCCCATCACAGATGCCAAAGCGAGGAAGCGATCCGTCCCAGTCCACACTTGCCAGATCAAGAATGCGGTGGGACACTCAAAAGATGCCCAGACTCAACCACCCTAGCGAACATTCCCTGGTCGAGAAAAGAGAAGTGAAATTTGCAACCCAGAAGGGAAATCTCACAGTGGAAGCAGTAGAATCGTGGGTGGGGACATTTGATGAAGTACACTTCTTTAACCCCCTGTTAGTCAGTACTGTTAGATAAACATCCTTTTCAATGATAAAACCCAAGTCATTTCTGGATCTTTTCCTGGAAGAGCATTCTGTTGCTGTCAGGCTACAGGAACAGCAATAAGAGGCCATATTCTGGGCATAGAGCCCAGGACTCCAAGGGAGGCCCGAGAGAACATCTGGTGTACTTGATATATAGAAGCCAGAACCGCATGTGTGTGTTTGTGTGTGTTTGTTTCTCCTCTGCTGACTCATGGCGTTGAAACCTCGGTGGAAACACCCTCATCTTGCTAGCTAGCCAGTTTAAACACACCCCTTTGGCTCCTCCTTGATTCAAATGATAGGTCAAGAGGAAGAAGGAAAACAAATTCAAGAGGTGCTCTCAAGCATCTAGAATTCTCTGCCTCCCACCTCTTGAGGAGAAAAGTTGGCCCCAGCTCTGACTCAGTCCATTAAAAAAAAAAACTGGACTGCTCGCTTAAAGCACCCACTGGTATTTGAGCCTTAGGGTGAAACTGGAAGAAAGGAGTTCACAAGTGCTGCGGGCTGTGCAGGAGTCAGGAGCTGCCAACTAGCAGTGAAAACAGAAAGATGGCAGGCCTGACGCCCAACATTCAAGCAGATCCTGAGATTGAGCTTTTTGTGAAGGTAAGTTTTCTAGCTATCATAACAGGATACATGATATTTTCTTTCTGGACCCTGGCCCTCAGCTTATTCTTAAAAGGGCAACATTGGGGCTAGAGATAGGAAAGAATTCTGTAATTGTATTTCTATTATGAGTCCCAGAAGGATGTCTGGGTGTTGGTTGTTCTTAGAGAACAACAGGAAAGCATCTCACCTGGAAAAGGCCTGGAGACATAGTGGAAGGAACGCTAGACTGCTTGGTAGTCAGAGCAACTGCATTGTATTCTTAGTGGTTTCCTATGTAACCTTGACCAAACCCCTTCCTCCCTCTCCACTTTCTCTATACAATGTAGGAGGCTAACAAAAATGATCTATAAGAGTTTTTCAACTCTCACACTCTGCATTTGATGCGATTGGTTTTAGGAGACCTGAATGGGAGGAGAAGAGGTGCAAGAATAGCCGGAGGGCCCCATTCCCACACATGGCCCAGACAGAGTTTTCTAAAATTCTCCCGCAATGGACAAACATCACAGCAGGTTCACATGGACATTATAGAAGAAAAAAATCCGAGAGTCTGTGTGCCTGCTATGTGAGGAGGAGGCATTTCAGAAAGCTATGCTCTGCCTTGGTGATATTGTATGTGTGTGTGTGTGTGTGTGTGTGTGTGTTTCTGCCTTAACTTTTCAGAAAAGCCCTTTGGAAAACCCCTAAAGCAGGAGAAAGGAACATGTGTTTCTAAATTAGCTCATCAAGAGAAATAATTGTGCGTGGGTTATTCCAAGTAGAAATTACATAATTTCCTAAATCCTTGCTTATGTTAACTATTTGTTCTCTATACTTTCCTTGACTATTGGAAGTAGTCGGGATGCTAATGGTAACAACGAACTCTTATATCATGCCTGATGCTTTTGAACAACTTACATATATTGTCTCATTTAGTGCTACCAGCAACCCAGGAGCTAGAGTATTAGTAGTGGTGGTAGATCAGTAATAATAGTGGGAATAATACTCATCATTGTAGTAATATTGTCACCATTTCTAGATAAGTAAGCTCAGGCAATAAAGTATAAGTAACTTGCCTCTAAAACTATATAGCCCTGTGATGGCATACAAAGGCGTAAAATAACGTATGCTTACCAAATGTTAGCTTAAACTTCAGTTTCCCAATCATTTTTAAATTTTTAACAACTGGTTGTATATATCCACCAAAGATATAATCAACCTGCCTTTTCAAAATCGTAGCAGAGAAACTTGAATTTTTACATTGCAAAGCAATCCAAAACAATGTTTGCTGGACCATGGAGCATAAGAACTACTTGTCCTATCTCTGGATTCTAGCAAAACACGTGACTGCTCAGAAATTATATAAATAAGCCTTAATTTTCTAACTGGCCTTTTACACCTACCAATTCCAAGCCAGATGTCATGTCTTTTCATAGGATAACCAAAGTGTTTCCTTTATCTAAATAGTTCATTCAATCTAATCACACCATAACCAGTCGTTGCCATTGATCTGTGTGCTTATCTTCATAGATTGCCCATATTTGGGTGGTCATCTGAACAGGAGGAGTTAGAAAAGCATATGGTATATTGGATGAGCAACTGTTGAATTAAATATTAACTTTCAGGTTAAAACAACTAACAGTTTATTATTTACTATTTGGCAGGCACTGCGCTAAGTGGTTTAGTAGTAACCGTATTTTATGGATACAGAAACTAAAGCAAAGAGAAACTAACTTTGTGCACACTCACATGGCCAGTGAATTACAGGATTCTAATTCCTTAAAATATGTCTGTGAACAACAGTGTGGTGATTGTGGGGGGTGAAGGAGTTTGGGGGGAGGTGGTAGAGGGCATAGAGGAGATAAAAGGTGATGGGGAAATTTAAATTTAATAGAATTTAAAAATTAAAACTGCTATGTCTAATCTTATTCAATTGTTTTCCATTTGGCAAGCTTTTTCGAAAATTTCATCAGATGGAATCCTTTAGGTATATGACACTGATACAGATGAAAGATTTCCTGGGAGAATCTTGTATATCATCTGGTCCAGATTTCTGTTTTTGCTTTGCTTTAAGAAGTGATCTTCAGATATCTAGTAGTTTTATAGAAGATGGTGGAAGGGGACTCAGAAATTGAGAGGGATGAAAAATATTGATGAGTAATTTTTAAAAGCACTGCTCTTCCCCAGTGGTATCTCATTTATAGATAATGAGGTATCATTCTAAAGATTAAATGAGTCTGTGATTTCCCCAGATACCTCTGGTTGTAGCTTAAAAACCCCACCACAATTTCTTTCCCAGGCCTTGATGAGATTCCTGTAAGAGATTAAGCGCTTCCCTATCATAATTAAGAATTTATACCACACCATCTATGTGTTCCATATAGTCAAGGAAACATTGTCTTTCAGCTCTGTAGGATTTGGGCAAGATTTATATCTAGATACTGAAAACAAAAGATTTTCTAACACATTTTATTTTATCTAACTGCAGCATTCAGCATATTGGCTTGTTGTTCATTGTTAAATGAAGTTTTCGTGTTTTCTACCAAACAGTCTAAAATTAACTTTTAGTAGGTCTGTACATAACATTACAGAATCTAACATTTGGCCAAAATTCTGAATGTAATGTTTGTCTAAAACATGTGGTCTAGCCAAAACCGGTTTGGCTCAGTGGATAGAGCATCGGCCTGCAGACTGAAAGGTCCCGGATTCGATTCCAGTACCTTGGTTGTGGGCACATCCCCAGTAGGGGGTGTGCAAGAGGCAGCTGATCGATGACTCTCTCTCATCGGTGTTTCTAACTCTCCCCCTCTCTTCCTTTCTGTAAAAAAAAAACAAAACAAACCAATAAAATATATTTTTAAAAATAATAATAAAATAAATAAATAAATAAATAAATAAATAAATAAAACATGTGGTCTATGTGGGGAAAAAAGAAAGAGATGATACTCTTCTCTGAATGTTCAGACCATTTTTGAACTCTCTTAGAACTATCATAACAACCAATTAATTTTTAAAATTCCAACAAAACTATTAGATGAGAGAAAGCAGCATTAAAGAATATAAGTTCTGGAGTAGATAGTCCTGGATTTGCTACATGAAAAGAGTACATATGTCACCCGGCTGGTGTGGCTCAGTAGTTGAGTGTTGACCTATGAACCAGAAGGTCAGGGTACATGTCCAGATTGCGGACTCCGTCCCCAATGTGGGGAGTGCAGAAGGCAGCTGATAAATAATTCTCTCTCATTATTGATGCTTCTATCCCTCTCTCCCTCGCTCTAATATCAATACAAATATATTTTTATAAAAAAGAATACATATGTCATCAATTCTTGTCTAAAGTCAGCTCCTCTGAGTTTCAATTTCCTCATCTGTAAAACATGAGTAATAACAGAACTTACCACACAGGATCATCTTCAACGTGAGGCTTAAATAAAACAAATATGTAAAACAGAGGAGTTGTTACTATAGTTAACAATAAATGTCAGGTATTGTGGCAATTATTTTTTATGGTTAGAAACTTAGATTACAAACACCAAGAGAAATGTTGTTTCGGTGAATGACCATGTCCTGGCTTTGCTAGGTAAAGACAATTAAGAGGTAGATAATTCATCAATCAGGCTACTGAATTTATATCCTAAAATTGTATGTGATGCCACTTTAAATCAGCATATTATAAACAATCAAAAACCTACAGTTTTCCTGTAGAATTTTGCTGCATTTCCCACCCCACCCCACCCCCGCACCCCGCCACCTCACTGTTTTTGCCTTTCCTTTTGCCAAAGGCGGTCCACCCTTCCTGCTGTATCTATTATCAGAGGCCATTTTTCTTCCTGCTCCCCACCCCTAATCGTGTTTCCACTCACTAACACCAGTTGTGACTGCATCCTCAGTCTGACTTCTGTTACAAAAGAAATCCGCTGCCAAGGTTGGTGGCTATTTCCCATACCTCTTTGTGACATCACAAAGAGCAGCAATAAACATGATTTTCCCTGTCGCACCCACTGCCAGGGAAAGGAAACTTTACCTAAAAACTAGGTAAAGTTTTTACCTAAAAACTTGGACCTCAGTACTAGTAGAAATCACAGCTCAGAGCTGCTGTAAGATGAAGTCGCTTTTATTTCCTTCTACAGACTGAGGCAAAAGAGGAAATATGAATTCAAGAGATGAGAGAGACTGATGGGTTGGACTTGGAAGCTAGTGTTGAACATAGTAAGCATCAAATAAACATTGAATGAATAAATGAATGAATGAATGAATGAATGGCATAATAGCCATGGCAAACTTATTTGGAGATATAGGTAAAAACTGATAAGAATTAGTAGTTGGATTCAATATTCAGAGTGAAACAAAAGGATTATTATCGAGTTTCTAGTTTGTTCACCTGGGTGGATAATATCTTGTCTGCTCAGGCTGCCATAACAAAATACCATATACTGAGTGGTTACATCAGCAGACATTTATTTCTCACAGTTATAGAGGCTATATGTCCAACATCCAGGTGCCAGCATGGTTTCTAGTGAGAACTCTTTTCCTGGCTTATAGGTGGCTACCTTCTTGAATTGAAGGAGAGAGAGTGAGAGAGAGCAAGAAAGAGCAAGCGAGAGTGAGCGAGAGCGAGAGTGAGCGAGAGCGAGAGCGAGAGTGAGCGAGAGCGAGAGAGCGAGAGAGCGAGCGAGATCGAGAGAGTGAGATCGAGAGAGCGAGAGAGAGAGAGAGCGAGAGAGAGAGAGAGAGAGAGAGAGAGAGAGAGAGAGAGAGAATTGGTCTCTTCTCTTTTAGGCATAATACCAACATAAGAACCATCCTCATGCTCTCATGTAAACCTAATTACTACCCGAAGGCCTCACCTCCAAATACAATCACATTGAATGTTAGAGTTTCAACATATGAATGGGGGGTGGGCACAATTCAGTCCATACCAAATGATGGTGACTTTCACTGGATTAGGATCTTTAAAGAAAAAGTAGGTCATGTGTGGAGTAAAGAACAAGGAAGGAATTTAGTTTGGGACATTGTTTATTTTATTTTATTTTATTTCATATATTTTTATTGATTTCAGAGAAGAAGGGAGAAGAGAGAGATAGAAACATCAATGATGAGAGAGAATCACTGATTGGCTGCCTCCTGCACACCACTGGGGATTGAGCCTGCAACCTGGGCATGTGACCTGATCAGGAATTGAATAGTGACTTCCTGGTTCATAGGTTGACACTCACCATTGAGCTATGGCAAGTTTGCTGGCTGGGCAAAATTGAGGTGTCTAAAATTTGGATTTCCCACGAGGACACTACATCAGCTATAACCGTCTCAAGAAGTGGCTGCCTTTTCTTCCTCATTCCTCTTACCACTGTGCCTGGAGATGGGATTGGTGTCCTTTAGGTATCCTTGTTCCTCATTCCTTTTTTCAGATCATTCTGTCACCCCCATCTAGAGAAATACCTAGGTTGAATCTCAGAAAATCAGACTACACCACTCACTGCCCCTCCTTGTCATAGTAGACTTCAAAACCCCTGGTCATTCTCCCTTATTCCCAAGGATTTTTGTTCCTGGATCACTGTCACTCTCTCCAACACTAGTCTTAATTTTTGGTGATTTTAATAACTAGACAGATAACCCTTCCAATACTATGATGCTCAGATTCTTGACTTCCTCCCGTCCAGTGATCTCGTTCTTCACCATCTCTCAGGCACCTCCTTCCATGTCCATACCTTTATCTTTGTCATTGCAATGTCTGAAAACCCTTCATAATTATTTATTTGAGGGACTTTTTGTTCCTCTTTTTGAACTTCTCTATTATAATATATATTTTTTTAAAATATATTTTATTGATTTCTTACAGAGAGGAAGGGAGAGAGATAGAGAGCCAGAAATGTCGATGAGAGAGAAACATCGACCAGCTGCCTCTTGCACACCCCCTACCGGGGATGTGCCTGCAACCAATGTACATGCCCCTGACTGGAATCGAACCGGGACCTTTCAGTCCACAGACCGACGCTCTACCACTGAGCCAAACCGGTTTCGGCTATTTTAATATATTTTATTAAGATATAATTTGCATAAAATAGAAACTGCCATTTGACCCAGTAATCCCACTTCTAGGAATATATCCTAAGAAATACAAAACACCAACCAGAAAGAACATATGTACCCCTATGTTCATAGCAGCAGAATTTATAATAGCTAAGATCTGGAAACAGCCCAAGTGCCCATTTGTAGATGAGTGGGTAAAAAAGTTGTGGTACATTTATACAATGGAATACTATGCAGATGGAAAAAGAAGGATCTTTTACCTTTTGAGACAGCTTGGAGGGACCTAGAAATTATTATACTAAGTGAACTAACCCAATCTGAGAAAGACAAATATCACATGATCTCACTTACATGTGGAATCTAATGAACAAAGTAAACTGACAAAAAAAGTAAGACCATCGATGTGGAAGCATGGAACAGACTGACAGATCTCAGAGGGAAGGTGAGAGGGAAGGCTGGGTAAGATAAATAAAAAAATCATATATGTATATATGCACAGTCCATGGACACAGACAATAGACAGGTGAAGGCCTGTGGAGGGGTGGAAAGGGGAGGAAATGGGGGAACATCTGTAATACTCTCAACAGTAAAACAAGAGGAAAAAAATGCACCCATTTTAAGTGCATCCAATGACTTTTGACAAATGTATACACACATGTAGCCACCACCCCAATCAAAATATAGACTATTAGAGGCCCGGTGCACAAAATTTGTGCATGGGTAGGGTCCCTAGGCCTGGCCAGCAATCAGGGCCCATCTGTGGGGCGATTGGTGGGGCAATCAGGGGGCCCCTGCTGGTACCTGCCTTGGCTGGCCTGGGGCCTGTGGGCTGGGGGCAGCTCCTGCATTGAGCGTCTGCCCCCTGGTGGTCAGTGTGCATCATAGTGACCATTTATTCTGCCGTTTGGTCGATTTGCATATTAGGCTTTTATTATATAGGTTTTCCATCACCTCATAACGTTCCCTTATGTCTCTTAGCAGTCAATATTCCTCACTCTATCCCACTACTCTCCTCCTAGACAATCACTGATCTGCTTTCTGGCAGGATAGGTTAGTCTGCATTTTCTGAATATTTTTATAGATTGAATCATGCACTATGTACTCTTTTTTGTTGCCTGGCTTCTTTTGCTCAGCATAATTATTTTGAGATTGGCCCATATTGTATTCAGCAATAGCTCATTTGTTTCATGGTTGAAGTATTCCCTTGTATGGATGTACAACTAGTATATTTGCTTATCCATAAAGGACATTTGAGTTGTTTCTGATTTTTGGCGATTGTGAATAAATTTGCTATAAACATTTGTGTACACATCTTTCTAGGGCTATATGCTTTCATTTCTAACCTTGGATTGGAATTGGCTGGATCATAGGTAGATAACAATTTTAACCTTGGTAAACTCTTTCTATAGCAGTTGGACTATTTTACACTCCCAATAACATTGTGTCAGTTCCAGATGCTCCACATTCCAGCCAATACTTGGTACTGCCAGTCTTTTTAATTTCAGTTATTCTAATGTGGGTGTAATGGCAATCTATTGTGGGTTTTGTTTGCATTTTCCCAATGACTAATGATGTTGAACATCTTTTCATGTTGGTATTTACTATCTGTATATCTTCTGTAAAATGTTTAAAAAATAAAATGCTGTTTCTTCAGAAAACACCTCCCTGACAAACCCCATATAAACTATATTTCTCTCTTACACATTCTCATAACATGCATGTCCTTCCTCCAAAGACTTTTCAAAGACTTCATCTAAGTTTAAAATAGTGTGAATTTGGGGGACTATTTTTTTATTTTAATATCTGTTTTGCATATATAATGTCTGTTCTATGTTATAAAACATAATTATTTCTTTGGTAAATATTTATTGGGAGAATGAATGAATGAATGAATAAAAAAATAGAGTCCACAGATAAACTCAAGTATATGTAAAATTTCAAAGCTAAAAGTGTGTTGTTTTTAATCAGAGGGAAGACATGGTTTATTATTATTATTATTATTATTATTATTATTATATACACTGAGTGGCCAGATTATTATGACCTCTAAATGCATAATAATCTGGCCACTCAGAGTATATCCTTTATAATAAAAGGCTAATATGCAAATTGTCCCCTCGACCAGGAGTTCAACCAGTAGGCAGGCCAGCCAACCGTCCATGTCCCCTCCCCCTGGTCAGGCTGGCCAGACCCCACCCATGCACAAATTCAAGCACCAGGCCTCCAGTATGTATATAGTTTTACACTGAGTGGCCAGATCATTATGCATTCAGAGATCGTATATTTCAGGTGTATAGCATAATGGTTTGACAATTATATAACTTACAAAGTGGTTGTTTTTATAAATATATTTTTATTGATTTCAGAGAGAAAGGGAGAGAGAAAGATAGAAACATCAATGATGAGATAGAACACAGACTGGCTGCCTCCTGAATGCCCCACACTGGGGATTGAGCATGTGCCCTGACCGAGAATTTAACCATGACCTCCTGGTTTATAAGTTGACACTTAAATACTGAGCCACACCTCTGGTCAACCAAGTGGTTTTAACAACTGGTGTTAAGACAACTATTAACTATTTGTAAAGATATTAAAGCTGAAAAAATAAATAAAATAAAAATAATAAAATAATAAAAAGATATTAAAGCTGGAGTCCCTATACACTTCTTACACTAAAATAAGTTCCAAATAGATTAAACAAATGCAAACATTAAACCATAAAGTTACTAGAAAAAAAACACAAGAGAACATCTTTATTTTAAAAAATAACAAAGTAACTTTTGTAATATATATATTATATATACTGTATATATAGTATATATATATATATGTGTGTGTGTGTGTGTGTGTGTGTGTGTGTGTGTGTGTGTGTTATGTAAGCATATAAGAAAAACCAAACTGCACAGAGGAAAAGAATGACGAATTTTATGTAAAATTTAAATTTTACATGAAACATGCATTTGTAAAATTACCTGTAACTCATACTAAAATAGTTGTTATCTTTAGTATACAAATAATTTTTCCAAATCAATAAGCAAAAAGTCATCACCTTAATATCACTTTAATAGAAAATGTAAAATTTTCATGGACACTTCATAAAATAAGGAAATCAAATAGCCAATAAACACATGGAATACGTTTCAGGAAAGAAACTTGGCAAGATCTATCAAAATGGGAAATATACACACTTTTAACTCAGCACTCCCATTTTAAAGATTAACTCTAAAGATATAATCTCAGAGGTACAACAAGCTATATGACAAAAATATTTGTTGCTGAAATATAGTAGCAAAAATTTTGTAATATTTAAAATGTCTATTGTAGGAAATGGTTATACAAATCTTGGTAATAAATATTATATCTAATGTATTATTATAATTATTATGTCATCACACTTGTAATTTTACATAAATGAGATTTGATTCATTGTCTCTCTCTGCCCACAAATGGTAGAATCCATAAGATTAAGTATTTTTAACTTTGTCTCTAGCAACTAGCTCATTTGCCAGTAGGCACTCGGTACATACTTGTTAAGCAAATAAATGAATGAGGCCTTTCTTTATCTTAATAGGCTGGAAGTGATGGGGAGAGTGTTGGAAACTGTCCTTTTTGCCAACGCATTTTCATGATCCTCTGGCTCAAAGGAGTTAAATTCAATGTGACTACTGTTGACGTGACCAGGTAAGAGAAATTAGAACAGGTTTCATTCTAAGGATTGAAATCAGTAGGTGCCAATACAGTGTTGTACCAATATATGATGTGTGCTTGATCTACCGGTCTAACTCTACTTATTTGTAATAATTATAGAAAGCCCGGAGAGCTGAAGGACTTAGCTCCAGGTGCCAATCCTCCCTTCCTGCTGTATAACAAGGAGCTGAAAACAGACTTCATTAAAATTGAGGAGTTTCTAGAGCAGACACTGGCTCCTCCCAGGTACAGCCTTTTACACGGTGTTATTGTTCTTGAGACCATCTGTTTTCTTGGCCTATTTATTGCAGGTTGACCATTCTTAGTTTTTTAATCTCAGACCTCTCTTTTGTTACAGTTCTATAAAACTTTGCAAAAGTCCCCCTTGATCACTCCACATATGATTAGAAAACTTGACTACAGAATTATGTATTTAGTGTATGTAAAACCATGAATAATTTATGAATGTGGGTAGCATATTAGGAAGGGGCAAAGAAGAGACTTGGAAACCTTGGAAAGGCAGGTAAATTTGGGCCACATTTAATTTCAACCTCATTATCTAGCCCATAATGAAGTTTGTTGGAAAGCCCTCGGAAGATCTTCAATGACCTTCTATCATTATTCAGTCTGATCTCTTAGCTCTACAGGTTGAAAAATATTATGCCTATGAGGCCTAAATTTGCCCTTCAACTTTAAATACACAAACACCACATATAGATAGAATGCTTCAAATATTTGTAAATGCATAGCATACTTAAAATAAGAAAGTAAATTCTCATTGGTCTAGAAACAGAGAAATAACAAGGATGAGGAAGAGGAAGAGCATGGGGTAATAACACTGTGTAGCCTACAAGAACTGACTATGATTAGGCTTTCACATCCCCGATGGCATGAGGTAGAACATGCCCAACACAAGGGTTGGAGGTCAGGAAACAGGTCTCACAGTTAACCAGAGGCCAGAACTGCACTGTCTACACTTGAATGAAAGTTCTATCTATCTGCCTACACAGGATAAAGTCTGGAAACAGGAAGCCCGCTGTGTTTATTTTTTATTGCTGTACAACAAATTACTGCAAACTCAGTGTTTTAAAACAATACTCATTTCTTAGCTCACATTTCCATTGGTAAGGAGTCTGGCTGTGTATTTAAAACTGCTCTAAAAAATGGAGTCTCAGTCACAAATATATATATATTATATATTATATACACACACACACACACACACACACACACACACACACACACACACACACACATATATATATATATATATATATATATATATATATATATATATATATATATATATAAAATTAGGTCTCTTTCATCAATTACTGATGGCTTCTTAGGTTTAAGCACCTGCTCCAAGTTTGTCCTGGACCTACTGAGTCTTATTTTTTTCTTTACTCCTCTGCCATCTTCTGCTACTTCTTCCCTCACATTATCTGCTCCCTAATTTCTTCTTGCTCCCAAAGGTAACTAGTGGGGGGGAAACAACCACAAAGAACAATTGCGTATCTTTCCATATTTTTTTCTAGGTTCACATAAGCATGATAATAATAAGCATAATTTATAAATATTGCATCTTGCTTCTCACTTCAAAGAACATTGTAGCATCCTTCAACTCTACTGGTTTTGACTGGTTTTGATTTAATTCATTATAATGTCTGCATAATAGTCTATGTCACAGATGTGCTACAAGTTGCTAAACTATTCCTTTACTGATGGACATTCCCTTTCCTTCCAGTTTGTTTTTTTTACCACTACAAACAGTGGTATAAATAACATCCTTGTGCCTATGTCCTTATGTGCTAGTGTATTTATTCCTATGTAATAGATTCCCTGCAGAAAAATTCAAATGGCATATAACCTATGAACACAGACAGTAGTGCAGGGGAGACCTGGAGGGGGAGTGGGATGGAGGGGGGAAAGGGACATCAATTGCACTTTCAACAATAAAGATAGTTTTAAAATGTTTGCTTTGTATTTAGCCACCTTGACAAAATAGCTCATTAATGCTAGTAATTTTTTTCCTATATTTCCTTGGATTTTTCTAGACATACAATTATGTTGTTGCTTCTCTTCTAGTTTTTATACTGATTGCTTTAAAATAGTGTCTTCCATCACTTGCTAGAACATCAAAAACAATATCAGCTATTGCCCTGGCTCTGTTGGTTGGGGCATCGAATGCCAAAAAAGTTGCAGTTTCAATTCCCAGTCAGGGCACATACCTAGCCTGTGGGTTCAATCCCTGTCAGGGCAAGCAGGGGAGGCAACCAATGGATGTTTCTCTCTCTCTCTCAAAAACAAAAACAAACAAACAAACAAAAACTAAACTAAAAAAATAAATAAAAAAACAAACAAACATATCCTCAGAGGATCAAAACACAATATCAGCTATAATATCAATTTTTGGTGTTTCTGTGTTGTTCTTAAATTTAATATGAATGGTTTTAGAGTCACCAAGTAGAGTGATTTTTTTCTTGTCTTAGCGGTTAGTACATTCAGCACAATGTTGAAAGAGCAGTAGTGATAATGATTATTCTTCCTCTTGGCTGGTTTTAAAAAATTAGTTCTAAGGTTTCACCTTTTTTTCTTTTTTTAAATTTAAGTATAGTTGGTATACAACCTTATATTGTTATATTAATTTAAGATATGTAATATAGTCATTCAACATTTTTATACCTTACAATGTGATCACATTGCTAATTCTAGTAATCATCTCTCGCTGTAAACATATCACAATATTATTGACTATCTTCCCCTTCCTTTTTTCACCCATACCTCCATCCCATCCTTTCTTATAACCCTTTTGTCTCTTTTTTATATAGATCTGTTTTTGTTTTGTTTTTTATATTTCATATATAAGTGAAGCCATATGATATTTGTTTTTCTCTGCCTTATTTCACTTAACACAATACTTTATAGATCCACTCATATCACAAATGTTAAAACACTAATTCAAAAAGATATACAACGTGTGGTAAAAGTAGGTTTACAGTTGTAAATACATGAAACACAGAGTTTATTCTTGTATTGTTATTTATTGATTATTGCATTTTTCCATATGAACAACTATACACCTATGTTTGCCCCATCCTGTATGCACCCCTATGTTTATTGCAGCATTATTTATAATTGTCAAGATATAGAACCAATGTAGATGTCCAAAGATAGCTAAATAGATAAAGATGTAATATGTATACAATGAAATATTATGCAGCAATAAAAAATTATATCTTGCCATATACAACAGCATGAATCTATCACCTTTTAAAAAATATTTGCTATTTTTTTGACATTATGCAAGTTTCAGGTGTACAACATTGTAATTCAATATCTGTATACACTATAGTGTACTCACCACCCAAGTCTAGTTTCCATCCCTCACCGAATATTTGACCCCCTTATCCATTTGGCCCTCTCCAACTTCTTTCCCCTCTGGTAATCTCCAATCTGGTGTCTATACTTATGAGTTTTTTGTTGTTGTTGTTGTTGTCTTTTGTTTATTCATTTCTTTTTCTTTTTCTTTTTTTGTTATATCTATCCCATGAGTGAAATCATATGATGTTTGCTCTTTTCCTTCTGACATTTCACTTAGCACAATAACCTCAAAGTCCACCAGTGTTGCAAATGGCAGTATTTCATCTTTTATGGCTGAGTATTATTCCAATGCGTATACAGGAGGGGGGGCAAAAGTAGGTTTACAGTTGTATGTGAATCACTGAGTTTAGTCTTGTATCATTATTTATTAATTATTATATTATTTTCCATACAAACAGCTGTAAATCTACTTTGCTCTACCCAGTATGTAATATAGCTTTTTCATAATTATCTATAAAAGGACATTTACTAGTGGGTTGTTTTCATGTTTTGGCTATTGGGAATAATGCTGCAATGAACGCAGGAGTACATATATCTTTACAAATAACTGTCTTCAAATCTGCGGGGTAGGTAACCCAGAAAAGGAATTGCTGGGTCCTACGTAAGTTATGTTTTTAATTTTCTGAGGAAACTCCATACTGTTTCCCATAGTGGCTGCACCAGTCTGAATTCCCACCAGCACTGTGAGAGGGTTTCCCTTTCCTCCATATCCTCTCCAAAGCTTGTTATTTCCTGTCTTGTTGATAATAGCCATTCTAATAGGCATAAGGTAACAATCTCATTATGGTTTTGATTTGCACTTTCCAAAAATATTTTACCATTTTATATGATGCTTGCTCAAATTTTTTGATAAATCTTGTTTATCAAGTTAGCAAAATTAATGAATTCATGTAATCATTCAACAAGTATTTACTGAATACTTATTAAGGATCAGGTACTATTCTAGGCACTTGGGACACATTCGTGTATAAAATGGGCAAAAACTCTCTGGCCTAGTAGACCTTACATTCTAGTTGGAGAAGACAGGAAATAAGATAAAAAGCAAATGTAAACTATGTTAGATGATGATAAATACTAAGAAAAAAAAAATAACGCAAGAGAGGGAAACAGTAAGAATTAGGGACAGGGAGAATCCAAGATGGCTGCACAGGTAAACACCTAGCTGCAGCCACACACAACAATTTCAATAAAATACAACTAAAATATAAAATGGACATTACCCAGAACTACAGGAAAGTTGACTGATTAGAAATTCTACAACGAGAAGCAAGGAAAAAAACAGAAGGAAGCGTGGAGGAGCTGTAAAAGCCTAAGGTACAGAGACACACGGCGCGCATGGAGAGGACGAAGCCAGAGAGGAGGGGGAGGCTGAGTGCCTGGCTGGCGTTCCCTAGCGGGAAGGAGATAAAAGCTTCGACTGTGCTGAACCCCAGACCCGACAGCACTGAACCCCAGTTCTAGGCCAGAACCTGGAGACCCAGGCTCAAACAGAGGGAGCAGGGGCTGTGAGCCGGAGTCCCAGGGGAGCGGCGAAAGGCAGTCCCAGAGGCGCGCACATTGCACGCAGAGGACGGACTATTGACTCTGCTGCCAGATTGCCCTGGTGGGAAGGAGACAGAGGCTTGGACTGTGCTGGGCCCCAATTCCTACTCCTCTGAACCCCAGTTCTAGGCCAGACCCCGGGGACCCAGGCTCATCCACAGGGAGCTGGGCTGTAAGGCAGAACCCCAGGGGAGCGGCGAAAGGAGGTCCCAGCGGCGCGCACATTGCACGCAGAGAAGGGATGGTTGGCTGTGCCGCGAGATTGCCCTGGCGGGAAGGAGACAGGGGCTCCAGACTGCTCTGAAGGCCACCTCCAACTCCACTTCCAACTGAACTGAACCCCAGTTCCAGGCTCATTCGGGGAGAGCCTAGACTGTTTGGTAGCAGGCGAAAATTGAGGGCACCTTTCTCTCAGAGGTGCTTGCAGCAAGTACTGAAGGACCCTAAGGAATACTGGGACTCAGGAGCCGCATAGGGTGTGGCTGACGGAAGCCAAGCCTGTAGGTTCCACCCTGAAACTCCACCCCATCAGGGAAGCTGCGAAAATGCTGAGACAATGAAATAGATCACAAATGAAAGAAATGGAGGACAAAAAGCGACTGGATATAGAGTTCAAAACCACACTTATAAGGTTGTTCAAGAATCTCCTAGAAAAGGCCGATAAACAAGACCTATGAGGATATGAAAAGGGATCAACTAGAAATAATAAGGGATCAACAAGAAACAAAGACTACATTGTCTGAAATAAAAAATATTGTACAGAGTCCTAAAAACAGAATGGAAGACCCCAAGAATCAAGTCAAAGATTTGGAACATAAAGAGCCAGAAGACACTCCTCCGCAGAAGCAAGAAGGCAAGAGAATCCAGAAAATTGAAGATAATGTAAGAAACCTCTGGGACAACTTCAAGCGAACCAACATCAGAATTATGGGGGTCCCAGAAGATGGGAGAGAGCAAGATATTGAAAACATGCTGAAAGAAATAGTGACAAAAAACTTCCCCCACCTGGTGAAAGAATTAGACTTACAAGTCCAGGAAGCGCACAGAACTCCAAACAAAAGGAATCCAAAGAAGACCACACCAAAACATATCATAATTAAAATTCTAAGAGCAAAAGACAAAGAGAATATTAAAAGCAGCAAGAGCAAAGCAAGTAGTTACCGATAAAAGAGCACCTATATGATTGTCAGCTGATTTCTCAACAGAAACCATGCAGGCCAGATGGGAATGGCAAGAAATATTCAAGGTGATGAATAGTAAGAACCTACAACCAAAAATAATCTACCCAGCAAAGCTATCACTCAGAATCGAAAGCCAGATAAAGAGCTTCACATAAAAAAAAAAAAAAAAAAAAAAAAAAAAGCTAAAGGAGTTCATCACCACCAAACCAGAATTATATGAATTGCTGAAGGGGGTTCTTTCAGAAGAGAAAGTAAATAAAGATAAAAATTATGAACAACAAATATGTAACTATCAACAAGTGAATCTAAAAACCAAGGAAATTAAAAAAAAAAAACTGATGAACAATATTAACTGTTGAATATAATAGAATCAGAGGTATGGAAGGGGAGTGAACTGACAATTCTTGGGGAAAAGGGGAGAGGGAGGATGTGGGAAGAGACTGAACATAAACTGTGCACCTATAGATCAGGACAATGTGGGTGGGGAAAGGGCAGAGGGTGGGGTGGGAACCTGGTGGAGGAGAGCAATGCAGGGGGGCAGAGGAACATTTGTAATAATATGAACAATAAAGATTTATTTAAAAAAAAGAATTAGGGACAGGGAAGAGGTTGCAGACTTAGCTAGGGTGGCCAGAGAAAGGCTTGTATAAGAGGAGCTATTAGGGGGGGAAAAAAAGATATGAAAGAAAGGATGCAGATCATGTGCATAAATGAGGGAAAGCACTCCATTTAAGTGCAAACAGGCGAAAATGCCCTGAGTTGGAAGATTCAGCTTATTTGAAAAGTAGCAAATGATCCAGTATTGAGTGAAATATGTAATGAAGAAGAGATGAGAACAGAGGGGTAAGGTGGCTCAAGATCCCACCAGTCCCTGTAGACCTCTGTGAAGACCTGAGCTCTGAGTCTGAATGAGATGGGTACATTGCAGGGTATTGCATAGGGGAGACACATATGACATATTTTAACACAATTGCTCTCACAACAGGTAGAGAATAGTCTGTTGTGTGAGAGACAAGCATCGAAATAGAGAGAACAATCACCAAACTGTTGTAGTAATATAGTCTTGGGACCAAGAAGTGGGCAATGGAAGTGGTGACAAGTGGACAGATTCTGGGTACATTTGGAAGCGTAACCTGGCTGGAGTTGCTAATGGGTCCAATAGGGATGAAGATGAAGAGAAGAATCAAGGAAGATGAATATTTGGCCTGACCACTGCTAGTTGCTAGGAGATGTTTTAGTATTAGACATTGATTTTCATTGAATACTTTTTCTGCATCTATTCGTGATCATATGGTTTTCCTTATTTAATTTTTAAGTGTAATGAAATTATCACTTTGTTTTATTTTATTGTGCTAAATGATCTTTATATTACTTAGACAAGGACATCTTGCCTACTGTTTTCTATCATCACCATCCCCTTCATTCCTTCATTTGTTTTATAAGTTACAACATTTGAAGCTATATTTTTTCCTACTACTTATTTTTGATAATGTATTATCACCATATAAGTCTCACCAAAGAGACTTTCATGAGCAAGTGTGGGGACCTACCTACCATTTGAAACATTGTTTCTAGAAATAAATGAACTTTGAATTTCAGACAACTGGTTCCAAGTGAACTTTATAAACTAAATTATTCTGAGATCGGGAAAATATGAATTTCCAATGAGAGAATTCTCAGGACCTTCAGTTGCCAACACAATTTCCAAATTGTTCTCAATAGAACGCAAGCTAGGACACCTGGTCTCTGTCTCCGTATGTATGAATGATAGTGCAGCGATATTTCTTTTAAAGGTACCCTTGCTTGAGTCCCAAGAACAAGGAGTCCTTTGATGTGGGGAGCGACCTCTTTGCCAAGTTTTCTGCATATATAAAGAATACACAAAAGGAGGCAAATAAGCGTAAGATAACTTTCTTTAAATCTGTTTTTCTCACTTGCTCATTCTCACATTCTCACTCAGCTAAAATAGGTTGTTTGTTTTTTTAAAATATATAGTATATGTTGGAGAATACCCTTCCTCTCATCTCAGTCTCTGCTCTCTTTTCTGAAATTCCTTTGTATGAAGTTTTATTAGATTTAGAGCCCAATACTCAGTATAGAAATAACCAATGGAGCTCAAATAGAGCATTGGCAGGCCAGGTGTAAACTAAATGCAGGACTGGATTTGTTAGATGCTCCCCTCCGAACTTTCAGGGTTCTGCATACTTTTAAGGTTTCTTAAACCATAGCTCATAACATTCCCTTTTTCCCCCCTCTTTTTTTGTTAATCTTCACCCACGGATAATTTTTTTAGAGGGAGTGGAAGGGAAAGACAGAGAAAGAAACATCAATTGGTTGCCTCCTGCACGTACCTTGACCAAGACCAGGGGTCGAGCCTGCAACTGAGGTATGTGCCCTTGACCAGAATTGAATCCAGAACCATTCACTCTGCAGACCAACACTCTGTCCACTGAGCCACATAAGCTATGGCTCACAAACATTCTTGAAGTTTATTATCCTCTGAGTTATGAGAGCTATTAGTCTCTGATTCCATTTTCTGACTCTTCTGGGCCGAGGGATAACATATCACCTTTTCCCCCCTCTTTGACTCTCCTCGCAATGCACCTCTTCAAGAAAAATCCAGAAATATTTCCACTCATCATTTGATTAAACATCTGGCTCTGTCTTATCAGTGGCTAGTTAAGCATTCTAGTTAACTATTTAGATTTTTAATAGCCAGTGTAAGGAGCGTGTATAGGTAGAGATGTTTAAATGTGTGAAAAGCATATTGAGAATGTATTTACTTACATTTATAAGTAACCCTCTGACTTCATTGCCTCAGACTTTGAAAAAGCTCTGCTCAGAGAATTTAAGCGCCTGGATAACTACCTAAACACCCCACTTCTGGATGAAATTGATCCAAACAGTACTGAGGAACTCACAGTTTCCAGAAGATTGTTCTTGGATGGGGATGATCTGACACTGGCTGACTGCAGCTTGTTACCCAAGCTGAACATTATTAAAGTAAGTATTTATAAGGTAGCCTAATGGTTTGAGCTGGGTTTGGGAGTTGCCAGCATGAATAACAGTGACCATTCTGTGTGAGGTTGTTATATGATCATCATTATGCATGGAGTGTACACCTTTTCTCTCCTCAAAGGAAAAATCCATGATCTCCCCTGTAAAACATGAAAAATTATTATTTCTTCCTATATCAGGGCTTTTCCATTGTCTTGGCTATAAAACAAGAATAATATTACTCAGCTCTAGGTGGTTTGGCTCAGTGGATAGAGCATCGGTGTGTGGACTAAAGGGACCCGGGTTCAATTCCCGGGCAAGGGCACAGGCCCAGGTTGCAGGCTTGATCCCCAGTGTGGGGCGTGCAGGAGGCAGCCGATCAATTATTCTCTCTCATAATGGATGTTTCTATCTCTTTTTCCCTCTCTTTCCCTCTCTGAAATAAATTTAAAAATATTTTTTAAAAAGAATAATATTACCCATTTCACAGAATTGTTGAATAAATAAGGACATGGTAAATGCTTAGAATGGTATCTGGATCATAACAAGTAATAAGTAATGCGAGCTGTTGATATTATTTGACAATTTAATCACCATCAAATTTTCATTGAACAGAATTTATTCTATCTCAGGTCCTATGCCAGATACAGAGAATTCATAAAGTAATGAGATAGGTGGGGCCCTAAATAACCTCTAAGTTTAATGGGGAGATATGTGCTCTTTTTCTGCACTCTCTTCTTCTAAACATTAAATACAGCTTAATATAAATATGATTACAGGCATATAGCTTTGTCTACATGTGTACACTAAACATTAAGGTAATAATTTCAAGATTCATTTTATTTTGTAGTACTTTTTGTGCATATAGCATGTCCACAATGATCTTGACTTTGGAAATATGTTTCTACACACTGAGCATGTTACTGATGCCTTTTACTACCAACTGCTTTTTCCAAAACCTTAGATTGCTGCCAAGAAATACCGTGACTTCGACATTCCAGCAGAATTCTCAGGAGTCTGGCGCTACCTCCACAATGCTTATGCCCGTGAAGAATTTGCCCACACGTGTCCTGAAGACAAAGAAGTTGAATATACCTATTCATTCGTGGCTAAACACTAGTTAGGGCAGCTTTTCCAATAGCAAAAGCACTCTATATAACTCTCTTTAAAAAAAAAAAAACAGCACCATATCATGCTGTATTTTCTGTATCTGGCCACTGTGTATTTTAAAGATCTTCATATTTTTGCTTTAATTTTCTTTATTTCCATGGCATAACCACTGCAATTCCTGTATAACTACTGAAATCCTAAATGATATGGGAAACAGCAAGATCTTTTGCTATTTGACTGAATTCCTAGAATGCATTATATGTAAGATCAACAGATGGCTCAAGTTACAAATGACATAAGTAGAGGCACAATCTCAAACTGCTGCTTAGAAAAAAAATCCACCTAAACCATTAAAACAATGTTATATTTTTGTTAGTTTGATATATGCATGAGTTTATCTCTGATATGAATAATAAAAACAGAGAATGAGCATATCCTAGGGGCAAATCCTAACAGAATGATATTTTAAATCAGCTCTAGGAAGATATCAAGACCAACTGGTCTTAGAATGACATTCAACACCTAGAAATATTACTGCCTCATAGTCAGAGATGAGACTAAACCTTTCAGACTAGATGATATTGCTGTTAAATGAACAATATTCATTAGATAAAACATAATTTTTAAAAGATTGGAAGCAAATACATGGCAAAGGTGCAAAATAAATCTGATTTGTATTCAACAGCAATAAAAAGGAAAAAACTCTGATTTGCCAAAGGTCTTATTGCTTAAAAGGATAAGGCACACTTCCTTAGAGGATAGTCACACAGCTTCCTACAGAACTAAAAAGGTTCCATTGCTACATATACTCGTTTTCATGTTAAAATACAATCAAATCTGGAAACAAAAGCTGAGCTTAATTCTTATTCCTTCACAGGAGAAACAAAGTTCAGCCTCAAAAAAGAAAGGCACAGTCTTATTATAGGCTTTTGGGGAAGGGGAGTAGGTAAAATTTAAATGAGGCAATGTTTTAATAGGTTCAAAGAAAAGTAAGGCAATAAGCAAAGGCTTAACAGTCCTGGGCACAGGAAGGGCTCTTGTCCTTGTCAACCACAGAGTTAAGATGAATGTACAATGTGGTATCTCCTCTCTGCTGGGAGATCCCTGATGTGAGAAACTGCATCTGAACTAGATGGTTATCATTGTGGCTTCTCTGAATAGCTCAGAGCATACTATTCTCACTGATAGGATTTCAAATAGTAAAGTTTTTAAAGATCTATGATTTTTTTTTTAGTTAACTTTGACCCTGAGGCTCCATTTTATTGTCCATACCATGGCTTTGATCTTTGCATTAAAATAATATATTTTTATTAAATGTGTCGGGGTGACATTGGTTAATAACGTTATATAGGTTCCAAGTATACATTTCTATGATACATGATCTGCATATTGCATTGTGTCTCCACCACCTAACGTCAAATTACCCTATATAATAAAAAAGTCATATGCAAATTGACCAAATGATGAAATGACTGGTCGCTATGATGCACACTGACCACCAGGGGGGCAGACGCTCAATGCAGGAGCTGCCCCCTGGGAGTCAATGCACTTCCATAGGTGGAGCACGGCTCAGCCAGAAGCTGGGCTCACACTCATTGGAGTGGAAGCAGACCTAAGCTGTCAGTTGGACATCCCCCAAGCACTCCTAGACTGTGAAAGGGCACAGGCCAGGCTGAGGGAACACCCCTTCCCCCCAGTGCATGAATGTCATGCACCAGGCCTCTAGTCACCATATACCCCTTTACCCTTTAGTACCCCCACACTCTTTCCCTCTGGGTAACCACCATACTATTGTCTATGTCTACAAGTTTCAGTTTTATATCCCATATATGAGTGAAATCATATGATTCTTAGCTTTCATGACTAACTTATTTCACTTAGCATGATATTCTCCAGGTCCATCCATATTGTTGCAAATGGCAGTATTTCATCTTTTCTTATGGCTGAGTAGTATTCCATTGTCTACATTACCACATCTTCTTTATCCAATCATCTACCAAAGGACACTTTGGTTGTCTTCATGTCTTGGCCATCATGAATAATACTGCAATAAACATACAGGTACACATACCTTGCAGATAAAAGAACTGATGCAACACCAAACAAACAAACAAGCCAATTAAAAAATGGTCTGAGACCTGAAACAAACACTTTTCTTAAGAAGACATAAAAATAGCTAACAGATGTATGAAAAGATGTTCAACTTCACTAGCTATTAAAGAAATGCAAATCAAAACTGCAATGAAATACCATCTCATGACTGTTAGAATGGCTGTTATCAACAAAACAAGTAATAACAAGTGTTAGGGAGGTTGTGAAGAAAAAGAAAGCCTCATTCACTGCTTGTGAGAGTGTAAACTGGTACAGACACTATGGAAAACAGCATGGCGGTTCCTCAGAAAACTAAGAATAGAGTTACCATATGACCCAGCAACCTCTCCTCTGGGAGTCTACTGAAATTTTTGAAAGATCCATGATTTTAAAGAACAATACTTCTTTAAAGGCTCCTTGCCCTAAAATTCATCAATAGAAGGTTTTTATGGATTACACCATACTTAAACTATGTTCATGTCACCACAAGCTCCAGCGTGTAACAAGACGAGTAGCTAGGACAATTGTTATTTAACTCCATAGTTACCAATACAACTCAGAATTGTCCTCTTAGACAAAAGAATTATCTTCTTAGATATCTCAATACAATTCCATTCCATAATTTCTTGACTCCTTATGATGTTTCAATTGTTATTTAGTTATTTAATCCTCCCAACAACCCTATGAAGTATGTGAAAACACAATTCAGCCACATGTCAAAGGAATAGTCCTGTTTTCACAAAACACACAGTTCAATAATGGAGACAGGCATTGAGACATGCAATTACAATGCATATATATTACAAAAAGAGTAATCACAAGGTTATATAACAGAAATGCATTCTTACATGTTCCCCCAGCCTAACCTCAAACAAGTTCCATTGGGTCATATAGCTTTTGCATGGCACAATCTCTGTGAAAATTCTGAGATGGATGTGTTTTTATGAGCAGGTAAATATACATGTGTTTCTCCTGCCGGGGCAGACACAGTACTCCAAGATGGGGTCCTAGATGATTCCAGTACCAGCAACCTCTTCTTTTACTGATGCAAATTACACAATATGGGAAGGGGAATTTTTACCCATTGGAATCACAGTTTTTAAATAGAAAAAGAAAATTTTTCTTATTAGGAAAGCATTACATGTTGGTGCAAAAACAGACAGTAGTGGAAGAGAGATTTGTGAATCTCAGAGGGAAGGGGAGTGGAAAAAAGAGATTAACCAGGGAACTTATATGCATATATGCATAACCCATGGACACAGATAATAGTGTGGTGAAGGCCTGGAAGGGGTAGGTGCAGGGTGGAGGGGGTCAATGGGGGAAAAAGAGGGGATATCTGTAATGCTCTCAACAATAAAGATAAATTTAAAAAAAGAGAAATGTATGAAAACTTATCTGATAAGGTAGCATTTATGATCAATGGTGAAACACTAGAACACAATTCAGCCAAGTTCCTTGCCACTTTATAACAAGAATGTCCTTTTTTCCCAATAACATGTTTCTCATTTCCAACTGAATTCTCACCAGAACAGACTTTAACATTCACATTTCCAGAAATATTCAGTCTATTATTATTTTTGTGTTCTCAGAAGATGGAAGTTTTCTCTCTAGCACTCCTCTTTTCTCTCTGAGCCTTCACTAGAATTGCCTCTAACAGTGATACTTCTAGCACATACCATAAAACTATTCCAGCCTCTATCCATTACTCACTTAAAAAGTATCTTTCACATATTTAGGTATTTGTTACGGTAGCACCCGGTTTCTCAGTACCCAAATCTGTCTTAGTGTGCTCAGGCTGCCATAACAAAATACCATGAATTGGGTGGTTTAAATAACAGACATTTCTTTCTCATAGTTACGGAGGCCAGGAATCTGATATCAAAATATCAGCTTGGTCAGGTTCCAGCAAGAACTCTCTTCCTGGCATACAGACAGCTGCTTTTTGCTGTGTACTCAGATGAAAAATAGAAAGAGAAATCCAGCCGAAACTGGTTTGGCTCAGTGATAGAGCATCGGCCTGCAGACTGAAAGGACCCAGGTTCAATTCCAGTCAAGGGCATATACTTTGGTTGAGGCACATCCCCAGTGGGGGTGTGCAAAAGGCAGCCAATCGATGTCTCTCTCTCATCGATGTCTCTAACTCTCTATTCCTCTCTCTTCCTCTCTGTAAAAAATCAATAAAATATATTTTTTTTAAAAAAGAAAGAGAAATCCAGATCTCTCTGTTGCCTCTTCTTATAAGGGTACTAATCCCATTGTGGGAGTTCCATCCTTATGACCCCATCTAATCTTAATTATCTCCCAAAGCCTCCGCCTTCATAAACATTCTGGAGGCTATGATTTTAACATATGAATTTGAGGGTAGGGCTACACAATTCAGTTCATGGCAGTTAAAAACATCAGGGTAGCTCTCTCTTCCGCCATGCTGCCGGCGTGAGTGGGACAGAGCCCATGCTAGCATGGAAAAAGGCTCTTTTGTTTATTGCATCGGACTTGGCTCCCTGGTGGTCCTTGGGGATCACGAAGTCTGGGCATAACATATACAAATATATTCTCAACCAAAGATTAAAAAAAAAAAAAACATCAGGGTATCCTGCAATGTGTGCATGTCCCACATTCTATAGATCACCTTGACTCTTCCTAGGGCTCATTTTACTCTGGATTCTGCCAACTATACCAAATTGTGGCGGGAAGAAATCCCACAAAATCATAATTTTAAAAAACAAGACATATTTTTTTTAAAAGAAAGAAGGTAAATGTATACCAGTTAGTATCTGGTGATAGGCCCTCTTATACATAAGTTATAAGATCTGTTTTGTGATCAACAGGGTGTAGAAGGGCCTTGAGACATTCAGGTAAATAAAATGGTAAGTTGTGAACTCAGCAGAGTAAGGAATGGTGGGTATGGTGTTTATAAGT